AACAAGCAGCAAAGAAGTTCATTTTGAGAATTCCTTCACAGGCCCATAATTACAAGAGCTTCTGATGTTCTAACAGTGTTTTAAACAATGCTAAGGCTTTAGCTGTCAGCCCATAAAATGTTGACAAAGTTATATGATTCAGAGCAGTGTTAAAATGTGCTTTAAATTGTTCCTGTCAAAAGAAAGTGATTGCTGGCAGAAAAATAGGACAGTCTTTCTTTTGTTCACTATTCAATCCCAAATTAACCAAACCTTAGCTAATACAGAAGGGATGAAGAAAAGGTTTTTTACCTCATTACAGCTCCAGAATATTTTACATCATTCATTATTTCATGAAGAGCCGTTATGCATTGTAAGCTTTTCATGCTGAGACTTATGAATGACTGCTTGTCATAACATCAGAAGTTAAAAACATATAATAGCTTTTATTGAACATTTTTAAATGAGTCATAAAGTACTGTCAACGTGATACAATTTAATGGCTAACAATAAAAAATATCAGAGGCAAGATTTTGAATTGATCTGTTCTGCGTGTGATTTCTTTAACCTTTGCAATATTCTGACTTGTTCTTAAAGTGTAACTAAAGGCACAAATACTTGCCTTAGTTCCAGTGGTCCGATGACCACAAGGTCCCTGGTCCCAATTTGACAGCCCTGCAGGTGCGTGCCCCCAAATGCAGACAGTGTGCATATAGGGACATTCATCCACATGGTTGTCAAACTGGAACCAGTGGCTGTGTCTGTGCAGTCGCTGTACCCCAATAGATACAAAAGGGACTGCCTGCACCAAGATACACAGAACACCTGTGGATCCTGTGCAGGAGGCTCAGTGAATGAGGTCTAAGGCCCTACAGGTAATGGTCACATGATGACATCATCAAGTAGAAAACAGGCCACAAGCATTTAACCCTTGCAGTCCATGGGACCCAACTGCAAGGATAGTTTTTTTTTTATGGCAAAACTTGGAATTTAAAGCTTTCCCTCTTCTGCTTGCTCTCTGTCCATTATTCTCTGGCCTTGGTCAGCTTCTTCCTAAAAGAACAGAATTTTGGGGGGATGCGCTATTCTACCTACACATTTTACCCACTTAGGCCTAGAACATAACTTTTATTGGTAAAAGTAAATATATCCTTTATTTTTTTAGAAAAAAGAATTAGTTTATAGATTCACACACCAATGTGACTTTTTTACTAACAGGGAGAGCACAGAGTTCCTTCTAGAAAAAAGACTAAGCCTCAAGTAAACACAGAGTACTCTAACTACTGTATGCAGGGTAATATATCAAGCACACCCTCAAAATCAGGAAAGAATACAACTGTTTTGGTATCAGTGAGGTTAGTCTACCAAACCTGTAGTGGATTAAAAAGGACCACTGCTATTGTCTATTTGCTATGGACACCCTTCACAAATCCAGGTAGAAGTAAAGGTTCTGTCTGGAAATCAGTGACTTTTAGAGAGCTGCTATTGAAGTATTTCTTATCTAAGTCCACCTAACTTGTATTAGGTGTTAGATCTAATCACAATCTGCACTAGCATGAGACCTGAGGATTGTGGGATATATAGTTTCTTCAAAGGAAGTGTCAGTTCTTAGACTACAGACAGTGGTCACACACTGACCTGTGCAGTGCAATGCAGCAGGCAAAGCAACATTCCGGGGGATGCTGAGGTGGGTTGTGCCCCCCAAATTTCAGTGGCACCTCCCTAGGCTGCTTCAGATGCCATGCGAGACAAAGTGCTCCAACTCATCTCCATCCTGTAGATCACTTCACTGCAGACCTCTCCTGAGATTCAGGGGCCGGGGTGTTGCTAATGCTGAATTCCAAGACACTTGCCCCACATCTCTCAACTGTTTCCCCAGGTGCTGACACTGCCCACTAGCCATGCTTTCTTGCACAAGAGAGGCAGAGCAGAGAGTGTGCTGTGTGTTAACAAAAGCCAGTGCTGGTCACTGCCTAACAAAGCCATGTCAGCTGCTCTATTACATACATGATTCATTTTTTTTCATTCAACCAGTGGATGAAATAAAGGAAAATTAATTGATTCTCCATCTACACATTCTGGTACAATAATTTTTTATTGGTGCACATGGAAATACAAAGCAACTGGTCACCCACACAGCTGAGATCACGACAAGAGTGCGTATCATAAAAACATGACTAATATCTCGTGCAAATGAACAATTTGTAATAGAAGATGTCAACTGAACAACCTTGCAGTGGGTAAGTCCAAAGACATACCATGGAGAGACGGAAAGGGCAAGGTGGTTAACCAATTTCCAAGGAAGAGAAAAGAAGAAAAATATTGGGAAGGAAAAAAAAGGAGAGTGGCAAGAAGGGAGGGGGGGGGGGGGGGGGGGGGGTAGTGGAGAGGGGGTAGAAGAATGGAGAATGGAAGGACCAGGTGGCAGGTTGGGTTCCTGCAGGCTTGGCTATAGCCAGGGCACTGATCGACTTGTTGGCAGAATTTTAATCCACTTATGGCTGGTTTAGAAGGGAGAAAAGTTTAGAGCGTGCAGGGATGAGTTGTGGATAGGGGGTGCTGGGAACAGGAGGGAGAGGTGTGGATATGAGGGAAGGGGGACTGCTGAGAACTGTAGATGGGTTGGGGCTGGGTGTAGAGGTGAGAGCTGTGGATTGCAGGTGGTACTAGGTGCAGGGGTGAGATTTATGGATGAATAGGGGCTGGGTTCAGATGTGAGAGCTGTAGATGTTGGGGACAAAGGTGGGGCACACTAGGTTCAGAGGTGAGAGCTGTGGATGGAGGGGGGTGAGAGCTATGGGTGGGAGCTAGTTGCCAATGTAGAAGTGATGGAGTGGGGTGCAAAGGTGAGATCTGTGGACATGGGTATCAAAGATGGGGTAGGGGCAGATATGAGCTGAGGGGAGATGCAGAGTGGAGTTACAACAAGGGGAGCAGAAGTGAGTTGTGGATAGGTGGTGCAGAGGTGAGCTGTGGATGGGGCTGCAGAGTGTGGACAGGAATACAGAGGTGAGGTCTGCATAGAAATGCAAAGGTGAGCTGTGGCAGGGGACACGGAAGTGAGCTGTGGATGGGGAAGCAGATGTGAGGTATGATGGAGACACAGAGGTGCAGTGTGGATGGGGACTCAGAGGTGAGCTGTGGACAGAGACGCAGAGTTGAGGTATGGATAGGGACTCAGCTGTGAGCTGTGGACTGAAGACACAGATAATATCTGTAGATGGGGGGTGCAGAGGAGGGAAAAGGAAGGTTAATGCAAGGCTATATGTTACATAATCCTCACCACTCTGTATGCTCTAAGTTGAACAATATGTGCACAAATTACACTAAGTTATGCAGAGTTCCACAGTCAGAAGTATGTAATGTATGGCACAGTCTACGGAGTGCAATGGTCAGGAGTATATGGAATAGCTACAAAGGTGATTTGTGGACAGAGGGTGCAAAGGTGAACTGTAGACGGGAGATGAATGGGAGGTGCAGAAGTAAGCTGTGGACAGGGGATGTGAAGGTGAGCTATGGATGGGAATGCAGAGGTGAGCTGTGAACAGGGGGTGCAGAGGTAAGCTGGCGAGAGGGGACACGAAGGTGAATTGTGGACAGGATTGCAGATTTGAGCTGTGTGAATGAGGATGCAGAGGTTAGCAGTGCATGAGGACGCAAAGGTGTATTGTATAGTGCAGCATACAGGACAGTGGTTAGGAGAATGCAGCATACAACACAGCATACAGTTTGCAGCAGGATTATGCAATCAACAGCACACATTACAGGATCCTGACCATGTTGTGCTGTGCCGTGTGGTAAATGCTGTACCTTTTATTGTTTTCTTGTATGCTCATGGCCATTGCACTCTGAACCAGGGGTGGACTGACAACTCATGGGGCCCCCGGGCAATAGGGGATTATGGGGCCCCTGTGTCCTTGCCCAAACTCAAAAAAGCCTATGAAAAAGGTACCAGGGGCATCTCATGGGGCCCCCTACTGACCCCAGGCCCTCGGGCAGTGCCCAAGTTTCCAAATGGTCAGTCTGCCCCTGCTCTGAACTCTTGACTATACATTGCATCCCCCTAACCACTGCACTATTCACACTAGGCTGTATATGACTCTTCTGACCACATCTCTCTGTATATTATATACCCCTGACTGCTATAGTCTATTTGCTACATTGTACATACTGCTAGCCAAAGTGTTCATTATAAGGAATGTGTCTGAGAGACTCAAAGTGGCATATAAATTAAAGCATATTTTTATGGGTGTAAGGCATATGTGAGCTGTGCATTGATCGAGTAGGCTTAGGTTTTATTTAGGTATGTCCCTTTAAGTCTCTTCCACTGTCATCGCAGTGATTCCACAACATGCCACAACTACCATATTATTCTTGTGCTTCAAGTGCCCCAGGGTGCCCCAGGTCTTTCATAATCTTAGCAACGTCCCTGCTTGGGGGAACAATGCGGGCATCCATGACAGAATACTCAGAAGGAGGGATGCTTAGCTCCACATTGCACACAGAGTGGATGCTTCTAGAAACACTGACATCCATCAGAAAAGGAACGACAGAAAAATGAGGAGTGGTAACTTACATAGACCTGCTTTATCTGCAGTGTGGTGTGTAGTGCAGCAAAGTCTGTGCACTGCAGTGTGCACGTCTGCCTGAGTACTTCATTTGGCTAGCGTTACCTAGTTCATTGTCAAATTATATTAGCAGCTCATTAGGTTTTCCACTTCGGAAAGCAGGCCCCTTTTTTTTTTTTTTTTACTGCACCCCTGACCTGACAGGATAGATCCAAACCTAGTGGAAGGCCTCATGTAAAGATTTATTTGTACAGGTCAACAAGTGATATAATGAAACGACATGATTAATACACATCTTATGCAGGGAAAAACTACAACGTGCAAGTAGGAAGGTTTATGATGTCTTACTATGTTAACTTCTTGCCAACCGCAGATAGCCGAATGACAACTACACTGTGGCCGGCCAGTTCTGGGAGGGCGTCATATGACGTCCTCCCAGAACGCACGCACACAGCAATCTCCGTGATCGCTGTGTCCTATGGACACAGCTGATCACGTGATGTGGTAAAAGGCCAATCACAGTGGCCTTTTACCACGTGATCAGCCGTGTCCAATGACACGCTGATCACCGGCAAATGATCAGTGCCGATCCCTGCTCTGACAATTGCCGGTTCTCGGCTGCACTTTCCTCACGCTGTCAGAGCGAGAGGAAAGTACTGCTGAGAACCGGCAGTTGTCACAGCAGGGATTGGCACCGATCATCAGGGCACTGATGATCAGTGCCCTGATGACCGGTGCCCAGCAGTGCCATCCACCAGTTCCACCCACCTGTGCCCAGAAGTGCGCCCACCAGTGCCGCCCACCAGTGCCGAGCAGTGCCACCCACCAGTGCACCCAGCTGTGCCCAGCAGTGCCACCTACCTGTGCCCAGAAGTGCCACCTACCTGTGCCCAGCAGTGCCACCCACCTGTGCCCACCAGTGCCACCCACCTGTGCCTACCAGTGCCACCCACCAGTGCCCATCAATGCAGTGCTGCCAATCAGTTCCACCAGTCAGTGCCCAGCGGTTGTGCCAGTCAGTGCTCAGCAGTTGCGCCACCTATCAGTGCCGCCTATCCATGCCATCTCATTAGTGCTGCCTATCAGTGCCCATCAGTGCCGCCTATCAGTGCCCATCAGTGCTGCCTCATCAACGCACATCATTGAAGGAGAAAAATTACCTGTTTAAAAAATGTTATAATAGAAACAATGAAAATTATTTTATTTTTTTTTTAAATTTTTTTGCAATTTTTTGTTTATAGCGCAAAAAGTAAAGCACCCAGCAGCCATTAAGTACCACCAAAAGAAAGCTGTATTTGTGAGAAAAAATGATAAAAATTTCATATGGGTACAATCTTGCATGACCGCGCAATTGTCAATCAAAGTGCGACAGTGCTGAAAGCTGAAAATTGGCCTGGTAAAGAAGGGGGTATAAGTGCCCGGTAGGCAAGTAGTTAATAATCTAGGTATTTCCAAAATGTTTACTAAACTAAATATTTTAATTGTGGCATTCCCTCTCTTTTGAGAAATATCAAAATAATGTTTTCTTGAAATACCACAAAAGATTGCATCTATTCCAAAAACATCCAAAAAATTTATTTTCACTTTAACTCCCAATGAAAAAATGCACACACATATCCTCCAAGCTTGCATTGCTGTGGGCTGCTGTGCAAGACCTATCCCTGTTGCCTACTCGCAAACATTTTTTAACTAATAACCCTTTTCAGCAGTGGCAAGGAAATATATGATACTGTCTGAGCGTCAAAAACAGTGTGGCTATTATGCAAGCTCACAGACATTTATTTTCCATGGATACCTTTTCAGCATCTCTTGCCCTCTAACTCCAATTGTGTGGAAGGGTATATAAACCAGGCCCTGTCCTTATCCATAATTATCTTATTACATTTCATTTTAAACTTCCTATGTACGTCTTCCAAAGGAAAAAATAAAAAAATATATGGCAGTGTCTTTATTGTAAATTAGATGAAGGCTCCATGCACTCTAGTGTTTTTGTAAGCTCCATGAAGCTATTGTCAGCATATTTTTTTCTGCTCCTATAAGCAAAATAGTGTTATCCTATCCTATTTGTCAATGCACACTACTTTAGGCTATTAGCATTTTTTGTGGTTCGATGCACACTAGCATTTTTTTAACACTTAAAAAAGCTTGAAAAAAAAAATGCTGGGCAAAAAAAACACTGGTAATAGTAGTGTTTGAATAATGTTTAGGAGTGTTAGCATTTTGTTTAAGTTTTTACAGTAAGCTTGAAAGAGCAGGGCCCTCGAACCCCTTGTGTATTGTTTTGCTACTGTATTGTCTCATGTACTGCCCCCCACTATAATGTACAGCGCTGAGCAAACCTTTTGGCACTATATAAATACTGTATAATAATAATACAGTACATGCAGAAAAAAAAGCTAGAAAAAAAAGCTATTAGGAGCGTTTTAATAGCATTTAGCAGCATTTAGGAGTGTTTAGCATTTTTTTTTCTGCTGGACAAACACACCAAAAAAACTCTACAGATCAAATCTTTTTCTACTCCTAGATGCTAATAGCCTAAAATAGAGTGAATGAACACTGAGAACACTATTTAGCTTCTAGGAGAAGAAAAACCGCTAATAACAGCTTCCAGGAGCTGAAAAAAATGCTAGCGTGCATGGAGCCTGTAGTTTTTTGGAGCATTTTTCCAGCAGAAAAAAAAACATAAACGCTCCTAAACACTGCTAAATGCTACTAAAAAGCTCCTAACAGCTTTTTTTCTAGCTTTTATTTCCCCCTCTACATGTACTGTAAAAAATGCTAATAAAACGCTAAAGGCTCCTAAATGCTTCTGACTGCTACTAAAAAGCTACTAAGAAACACTATTACCAGTGTTTTTCCCAGCGTTTTTTGAGCTTACAAAAAGTACTAGTGTGCATGGAGCTGAAGAGTTTAGGACTGTTTGGCTACAGATCTGTAGAAAGAGAGTATAATTAGAATACTGACTATCAACACATATGTCAGTCTGGCTCTGCCTACACATATTTTTATTACTTATTTTAAACTCGCTTCTAATTCTGATTCACATCTAATTTAGGTAATTTCACCATCCAGCAATGCTTGTTTGTCAGCTTTCTTTGTCATTGACTGTTTAATTAGTATTTGTGTGTGGATACCTTAGCTTGTTGTACCCCATCAGCCCTTCCTCTTTTTTTATTCACTTTTCAATCAAAACTACCTACCCAACTATGACTGCTGTTGCCAGTGGGTATCAACCATCACATCTTAATTTAATTTACATTGCTACAACTTTGCTTTTTAACATGTATGTATTTATGTATCTGTTGCATTTCCTGAATGTTACTAAAGAGTTGCAGAGATAAATTGAATTCAAATACTTACCGTAATTTTCCTTTCCTGACGAGCTCCATGTCAGCACAGCTGGGTGAAGCCCCCACCTACCCCCTGCCTGATCAGGACGAAACTCAATCAATTTTTGACCCACCTTAGCCTAGACATTCTGTAACTTTTACTACTAAACTGAGTGGGATTTGTGCTGCCATGGAGCTCATCAGGAAAGGAAAATTATGGTAAGTATTTGAATTCAATTTTCTGTTTTCCTGATGGCTCCATGTGAGCACAGCTGGGATTTAACTAGCCACACATGGGAGGGTAATGCAAAAACAGTTTAATTTCACCTGCAAGCAGAGGCCAAGACACCCCTGCCAAAATCAGCAGTAGTCAAAGCTGCAGGTTCTATACAATAACGAGTCATGAAGGTATGAACAGAAGACCATGTAGCCGCTTTGCAGATTGTTTCCGGGAAACTCTGCCCACTGCTGCCCATGAGGCTGAAACCCCTATAGTGGAATGCGCTGTGACCCCCTCAGGCACAGGCAAGCCTCTCCCTCTGTAAGATAAAGAGATGGGTTTGACCAGGCAAGTAGCAATTACTCTACTAGAAGCTCTCGAGCCTTTCCGTACACCGTTAGGGATGGTGAAAGGATGCTCTGACTTCCTGAGCTCGGAAGTAGCGTCCACATAATCTCTGAATGAGCACCCGACATCCAATGGACTTCGGTCCTGGGAATTTTCTGAAAGGAGTATCGGGATTGTAATGTCTTGCAATATGTGAAACCTGGAGGCAACTTTGGGTATGAATCCTAGCATCAGTCTAAGCACAACCCTATCAGGAAAGAATGAAAAGAAAGGGTTTTTTAATCCCTAAGGCTGCCAGTTCCGAGACTCTTCTGTCTGATGTTATCACCACGAGAAGCACTGCTTTCAGAGTAAGATGCCATAGTGAAACAGGATGACTGAAGGTGTCTGATGAGAGGAAGTCCAACACCAGTGGCAAGTCCCATTTTGGGAAAATCATAGGCTTGGGTGGTCTTTGACGTTCAGCCTCAGCGTCCAACCATGAGAGTGATTCTGGACGGAAAGCCAGCCATTAGACCAGCTAGTAGAGGAGACGCCACCTGTCCTGATTGCAGGAGGAAGAAAAAGGAATGCCTAGGCTGAGGTGAGTCAAAAATGTATTGAGTTACAACCTGATCAGGCAGAGGGTGTGTGGGGCCTCACCCAGCTGTGCTGACATGGAGCCGTCAGGAAACAGATATTTTAACTAATGTTTATTTTTGGTTAACTCGAATCTTAAAGTGTATGTACAGCCCAGACTTTTTTTGCCTTAAATTTGCATAGTGTAGGGATATGTTAAACTCTCCTAAGTTTAATATTAATGTCTGTTTCTTTTTGGGGAGACTTCCTTTTATTTCCTGTCTCAGCTACCCCACACAGAGTCAGAAGAAAGCTTTCTAAATTGTAAGAAATTTTCCTTTACACAGTTGTCACTGAAACAAAACATCTCCATTAAGAAATATACCCTCACCTCTTGTTTTGATCTCTTATTACTTTCGATCTCATTTACCATCATAATGGTCACAATGACCAATAGAGACAGTGAATCTACCAAGAGTGGAGCACAGACATCAATAAAAACTTAAACTAAAATAAAAGTTCTGTTCTCACATATACTTTAACTCTCTTAACCTAAAATGCTGCCGCTATCTTCTGCAGTCTGGAGAGAAAGAGTTGGCAGATCATTGAAAAAAGAGTTGGCAAGTATGTCAGTAAATATTTACAAACGTTTCTCCTGCACCTAGTACTGCGATTTTAGGATGCAATACTCAATGAAAAGTCAAAACTTTAAAATATAACATGTAAAATTTAATTCAATTCAAAAAGTTATAAAAAGTAGTACATAAAGGGATTAATGTACTGAATGCTAATGAATGGTTCACTCTGCAAGTGCAGTTACTAGCTCCAGAGCTAAGTAAATGAGGGAAAACTTGGCTGACTTTCATTGTTCAAGCATGTGCTAGGAGATCTTTTTTTTTAATTTTCCTTGCATGTGATTGGGTATTCTTTGCAAAGTGAAGCTTCATCTCATTTTGTAAACTCTGGATTAACTGCACTTACAAAACGTACAGTCTGTTTGTCTTTAGTAAATCCTCCCCATAATTAATGTATGTACAAATAATTTTCCAGCTGAATCCAAAATAACAGGATAAACCACATATATTGCTAATCAACCACCTCTATGTGCCAGTATTCTATGGTAAAGCATATATATTTATTTATATATAATGTGCCAACTCTAATTTGTTCATTGCATCCAGTTGATCCACTTCACAGTAAAATAGTAAACAGGAGGTGGTTGTAATTCTTAACATGTTTCTCTAAACTGACATCATTCTTAACATGTTTCTCTAAACTGACATCATTTGGATTATAAAGATTCATAAAGCCATAATTATTTTTTCAATCCAATATGCAAGACATAAAATAACTAAACCCATCAACACTTACAGTACATATAAGGATAACCAAATGTATCATAAATGTTGCTGCCCATTAGGCATACAGTTGTGCTCAAACATTTGCATACCCTTGGAGAATTGGTAATATACTGTACAGTACAGTACATAAGTGAGAAGGCAAAACACATTCCTTTATTTCTCAGGGGATCCATATTCAACTGTAGGTCATAACAGAATGCCACAATGATAAAACAAAACATGGCAACAAGTAAACAAATAAAATTACCCCTGTTCAT